AATAGGTGTAAAATTATTGTAAAAAAATATTTAGATAACCTAAACAAAATACGATATTTTTATCATTACGATATTTTTATAATCAGTATATTTTTTCAGAAAAGATTTTATATGAAATTAAATGTAAATAAAATTAAAATTATAAGAGTAATTTTAATATTAATAAACTATATTTCAATTTTTATTTAGCATTGTTTATCATTTGATTTAGATACATCTACATTGTTTGTTATTTCCATTATAAGCCTATCTAAATAATTAGAATCTAATTTGTATGTTGTTAGAATCATAGACGTGTACATTGAAGCTTGCTTAGATCGGAGTAACAATTGCAATTGTATATCAATCAAGCTCAACCTGGAATTATATTTATTTTTATAAGTATTTTTTAAATCAATTTTATTTAGATTAGACATTGCAATTAAACTTACATTTTAATGATGACGAGTCCCACAAGTGTCCATTCAGCGGTTTTGAAGACAATATTTCTAGCAGATAAATTAAAAGTACTTGTCAAAATCTTGATTAGTGAGTATTTTTCGTTATTATAAGTACATTGTGCCAGTGAAGAAATATTAGCATTGGTTGTTAAAGCGCACATCAAATCTGGCAATCTGTAATTAACAAATACATTAATAACTATAACGATTTAATTTCAGATAATTTCAGATTTAATTTCAAACTTTTTTTAACATTTGATCTCTAATCATCGCTCAGAAATGGAAAAATTATTACATTTTATTAAGATTGTCCAAGAAAATTCGGTGACGAAGTGCATTAGGCGTGTAAGCGTCTGTTAATGGTAATACAGGTTCAACATTCATATCTTTACTTTCTGATTCTTCATTACTATCCTCAAATGGTGCAATTTTCATTTGACCTTCGTAAAACGCACGCACCTGTGTACACATATACAATTAGTTGATACATTTTTTTAAATTAAAATTAATATTCGATTGTACCTTTAATTCCATTTTCTTTTCATCCTCTTGGAGCACAGAGAAGTGGGGTAAAGGTTTAAGCTCGTTTTTCTTCAAATCATGTTCTTCCTTTTCATCTTTCATTTGCAACTTGTTTAACTTTTTACACAACTGTTGATACTTATCGTACTGTGTAAATTTTTCTAATAACTGATTTCTTTCATTCTCCTCGCCCATTAGAAGGCAAAGGGTATTTTTTGTAATCCATTCTTTAATACTCTGTTCAACATGAATTGCAACTTTGAGATAAATATTATTTTGTATTTCTGCATTATCAGTTTTTTTCAGTTTGTACCTTTTATTTTTATTAATTCTACTTGTCTCCTCTATTTTTCTATATTCATTACACGTAGATGCAGAAGAAATCACAGTATTACTCTTATATATTTTCAATTGAGATTGTTTCATTTTTTTATCAGTAAGACTGTTATTTACTTCATCTATCTGAAATTCCAATTTCATTTCATTTTCATTATTCTTGTTACTTATTTCGACTGATTGAGGCGTTTGAGGCTGTAATTTTTCACTAATGTCATCTTCATTGTAACTTACTTCATCCAATTGAGGCTGCAATATTTCATTATAAAATATATCTACATTAGTTTTATTTTCTGTATCCCTGTTGTGTTTATGCAAATGTAAAATATTCCCAGATTGGCCAACAATTTCTATTTCTAAATTCTCTAGATTTACATCTACTTGTTGAATATTATTGTTATCATAATTATTTTCACAATTTGTAAATTCGTCAGAATCACAATTTTCACTTTCTCGATTCACTTGCAGTTCCGAGGAACGTGTTTCATAATTAAACGATTTTTGTACATTATTAGTATTTACTGAAGTCTCTTCCAGTTTATCATCTTTCTTGGTTACTACATTCTTTAATAAATAGGAATTACATATAGTTTTTTTCTCAGGACTTGATTCATTACTTGTATCATTTTCTGTTTGCTTGATTGATCCATCAATATCTTCAGTAAGTTCTGTAGATTTTCTACTGTCGTCATTATTGTCTATATCTTTATTTTGTGAGAAGTTAATTCCAGCAACGTCGATTTCCTCTCCACACGTAGACGTAGAATTGACAGGTAAAATTTGAAAGACTGGTATATCCTCCTTTTCTCTCAACCAGAGCGGACTCTCAAGCATTTGTTCAAGAAGAAAATTAGCCGCCCCGTAGCACAACGAACTGCAGAAGTTTTTTCGTTTGCTGACATCATACACTTTATTCTTTCGCGTTGATATGTGATACTGTTGTCGGATAATGACAGTCAACTGATTTGAACAGAGAACATATCCACATAATTTTACTATTGCTCTCTCCTCTATCACATCTTCCATATGATTCTTACTTATGAAGCCTAGCTATAAGAGCAATAAAATCATGCTAAATTATTGAGATTCTGTTATTGAATACTCGAACAGCTCAAATACAGAGACATATTTGTATTAGCGTACTTACATTTTGCAAGAGCCAGTCAGAATCCACATGCGATTCCAGAAGCTGCATAACTATCGCAAGAGCTTTCGCATCGCACTGTTTCTTTTTTATTATAGCCAGTTGCATCTGTTCCTTGCTTAAAGAAAAATTCAATCCAAATGAAAAAGGCAATTCATCCATTTCCAATGCGTGCAAGAGGACTTACCTCATCTTTTTCAATTTCTTCTTCTCAGTCATTTGTTTCTTAGATGTTGACATCGTCGCAGTATTATTCATTTTCAGAAAACGTATTCAGAAGATGATATATCAGATAACGTAAAATAATTCGCAATTATGAGTACTTTAAAAATATTACAAAATAACTTTTCTATTTCGCGCACTTATAATCAGTAAAAGTTATTGGAGGTTAATCTCCACTTTGTCAGAAAAAGCGCCTTCATGTGCACAAAATGTGAACATGAACTACATAGCCAAACTAATCGGAATATTTCTGATGGGTAATATGTTATTTTTCATGGTTTTGTTCTGTGCCATTTTCACCATTTTTTATTCTATTCCGTTTGGCATTCAGAAATAAAAAGCAATCATATAAATTTTTACAATTTAATAACTTTATTTTTATAATTTATTATATTTTAGTACTGTAGCAATGAATAAATATTTATTCAATATAATATCAATAAATTTGTTTGACTTGCTTACACTTTTTATTTCAGCATCTTTCCTTTCTCTTTTCAGTGCCAAATATATATCTATCTCATTTTAAGTGTGAACTGTGTAAAAAAGTGTACTCAAGCTGAACAGTCCGCTGCGTTCAGCGGACGCAATACAGAGGCGCTCGTTGCTATTAATGTATCCAGATCTAAATGCTGATTGAGTGATCTAAAAGAATACATTGAGTTTGCTGAAGATGAAATGACAAAAATTATTTTGAATAAAAGTTATAGTCAGTTTTTAATCGATTACAAATTGCAATATTAAAAATTTGCAAAATATTCTTTTTTAGGAAAAAAATCAAGATAATCCTAATTTTTTTAAATGGAATTACATGTTTTTAATTTCATAATATTGTAATTAATGTTAGAAACGAATTCAATGACCTGCTATACTATGATCTTAAGATGACTTTAAAGTCAGACATGTGGGATCAATGAACGGAAAAGTAAAAAGTTAATACAAAGTTAATAAAAATTTGTTTCTACTGTAAAATATGTCCATATCAAATTTAACACAAATAAAATAATTTTTTACGAAAACGTTTCCATTGATTGATCTCACATGTCTGATTTTAAAGTCATTTCAAGGTCATAATATAGCAGGTCACTGAACTCATCTTGATATCAGTTACAATATTATGAAATAAAAAAATATACATTGTGTCGTTTAAAAAAATTAGGGTGACCTAAAGTAATGACTTTTTTTCTGAAACAGAATATTTTACAAATTTTTAATATTGCAATTTGTAATCGATTAAAGACTAATTTTTATTCAAAATAATTTTTGTCAGATCTTCGGAAGTACCGGAAAAATCACAGGTACATGAGACATCTTGTATGTGTGTATTAAAAAGAATTGATAAAAAAATTTACTTTGGAAAATTTTTTAAGCTCCTCTCAAATTTCAAAGATGAAGACTTGTGTGGAGAAATTGACTTTACAAATGTTGAATTTATTCTTTCTAAGAATTAAAATTAAAGCAATCTTTTAGAATCATATCCTATTTTATATTTAATTATAATTGAGTATTTACTCGTCAAGTAACTTTCTAGATACATTGGCTGTAAATGAAATATTGATTATATGAAAAAGTAAAATTGTAAATAAAATTATAAAACAAAAATTTCAAACGTAATGGGCCGAATATCTCGGCGGAAAATATGACAGATACGGAAAAATGTTTCAGATAAAAGTTGCATGATTTAGAGGAGGCCATTTTGATCATGTTATCTTTCTTTTAGATGGAGACGCCAAAATGACATAAAGGTCGCCTCCACTTTTTTAAATTTAATTGTATAATTTTTTACACGATATGATTCCTTTAATTATTCTGCATAAAAATATTAAGATAGTAGTATCAAAAAACCAATTAGTTTACAAGATATTTTATACTTTATTCCAGCATATATTGACATAAAATATTAAATAACTCGTGAACTATTAATTTTTTTATAATCGTACCTTAATACTTTTATGATCAGAATAATGAGATAAATCAATTGGTGGAAAGAAAATATGTGGTTTACTTAAAAATTATCTATTTGCTCACATATTTTTTTAAAGCAATTATGTGTTTTCTTTACACTAATTGATTCATCTTATTATTCTGTTCATAAAAATAAAATTTTTCACCCTGTATATTACATATATATAAACTGTATATATATATA